GACTATGTACTTTCTTTCTATATTATGCTTTGAAATGTAATTAATTTTTTTTTAATTGTGAATCATAGATTATATTATGCTTTGAAATGTAATTAATTTTTTTTTAAAATATTAATCACACATTATTTTTATATATTGTTTATATATATTATGCTTTGAAATGTTATTAATTTTTTTAAAAATGTTAATCACACATTATTTTTATATATTGTTTATATATATATTATGCTTTGAAATGTAATAATTTTTTTAAAAATTGTTAATATATTTATTTTTTTTGTAATAAGTTTTTTCATTTCTAATCCTATATCCCAACCATTTAATTTTTCAGCTCAAGTTACACCAATTTAAAGTTCAATTCTCAATCACAGTCGATCGACGTCATTACATTTAAATTTTTCAGTTTAATTTCATAAAAAATTCTAAAAGATTAAAAGTTAATTTATTTAAATTTTTCAGTTTAATTTCATAAAAAAATTCTAAAATATTAAAAGTTAATTTATTTAAATTTTTCAGTTTAATTTTATAAAAAATTCCTAAATCTAGTACCTACACCACTCAATCATAGGTGGTGTCATTATATTTAAATTTTTTTATTTAATTTTCTAAAAACCCTAAATCTAGTACTTACAGCGCTCAAATCTAGGTGGCGCCATTATATTTAAATTTTTCTATTTAATTTTCAAAAAATCCCTAGATCTCCAGTTACTTTTAATACCAACCTATTTTTTTTCCCCCAAACTTTAGTTGGTATCCCCCCCTATACCTAATACATTGAGGCGTGACGTCACCGCAGGAGCAGCAGAAGCAACTTCAGCTCTAGAACCGGCATTCTTACACTACTAATCCTATTTCAGGTAATTGTTTCATAATCATCTCTAAAAATTTATATTTCGGTTGATGTAAGGATTTTGAGTATAGATAAATATTTTCAAAAGTTAAACCATTTTTATCGAAAATGAGATTTAACATCAAATTGGTTTTCCCACATCCGCTCGGGCCGCACACTATTGCTCGTATACTGTTCGGTATGAGGTCACCATGTCTACGTGTTGTTATCATCTTCGTCGTCATCATCAGCCGATCGAGATCGGTTAATGACATTGTGAGAGATGGATGTTGCACTACACGCATTATGATACTAAAATGAGTTTTAATCTTCATGTACAGATACTATATAATAGATGTGAAAACGTGAACTATATTTAGTTGAGTATGCCGTTCATTCGAGATAGTACATCTACGACAGTGGGAGGAAGCGGAATACTTAATACACTTATCAATAAACTACTTGTTGAGTTACACGTTCCAGGGTACCAATTTTGCGGACCCGGAACAAAATTAAAGAAGCGTTTGGCTAGAGGTGATAAAGCAATAAATCCATTAGATCGGGCTTGTAGAGAACACGATATAGCATACTCAGAAAATACATCTTTAAAACAACGTCACGAGGCTGATAGACTGAGAAGGTCTCAAGCTTCCCAGATAGGCTGGGAAAGAGTGAAAGCGAAAGATTCGACAATTGGGGAAAAAACTTCGGCTTGGTTAGTTACAAACGCTATGAAAGTTAAACGGAAATTAGGAATGGGTCATGAAGGACAAAAAAGAATAAAAAAAGGTGGTAAATTAAAAGATAAAAAAAATAAACCGATAGCATTTAAAAGCGTGTTGGTAAAGCAAATCGCTAAAGATTTACGTAAAACGACAGATAATTTACGGGAAGCGGCTCGATTATATTTAAGTAAAAAGAATAAAAAAAAAACTTTTAACTAGGCTACCTAATAGACCTCTAACAAAACTCGATATAATAAAATACGCTAAAACACTAAAAATTCCAAATTTCCGTGGAGTGTATATGCGAAACGGACTTCCTAAAAAAGGTCCTAAATATTATGAATCAGCTGTTGTAAACTTAGATAATCAACGAGGTAGCGGGACCTATTGGGTAGCCTATAAAAAATTTGGTAGTCGAATATTATATTTCGATAGTTACGGAGATCTAAAACGTCCTAAGGAACTTTTAAAATACTTCAAAAATTGTCAAATTGAATATAACCACGATAATTTTCAAAAGGATAACCCGTATAACTACGGACATTTATGTATAAATTTCCTACTAAAGACAAGAAATAGCTCATTTGAGTGAAAATGTCTCAGACGTTCACACTGGTTAGTACAAAGAGCGAAATTTCTGAAGACTATTATCCGCCTATAGAATTAGATCCTAACTCAAGTTACTCACTGGGTCTTATTGGATTCTATACGTATAACAGTATACCAAACATTGAACGAGGAGTTAATGATAAATTTTACTTTACCGAAAAATTTGCTATAAACAAAGGGCGACAATCGGTTATATCGACGGGATCGGTAATGCAGGAAGAAATCAAAATTCCTACTGGCGCATATGAAATAACGGACATTGAACTTTTTTTACAAAAACAGATTTTACACCGCATCGGATTGAATACGGTTGATGATCCTGAAAAATTTTTTTCACTCAAGGCTAACAATAACACCTTACAGTGTGAAATAAAAAGCGATTATTTTGAGATAGATTTCACCCAACCAAATACGATAGCTTCTATATTGGGTTTTTCCAATCGTAAACTAGATGCATTGAAAAAACATAAATCAGATCTTCCGGTAAATATAATACGTGTAACATCCGTTCGAGTAGAATGTAATATAATTTCTGGCTCGTATTACAATAATAAATTATCGCACACCTTATATGAATTCGCTCCAACCGTAGATCCAGGTTTCAGTATAAATATAGAACCAAGGAACCCCATTTATTTACCAGTCGACACCGATCGTCCGATAACAAACATTACACTCAAATTACTCGATCAGCGTGGTAAATTGGTTAACTTTCGTGGAGAAGAAATAGTTATTAGATTAGAACTAAAACGAACTTCATAATGGGACTGTTGTTCCGATTAAAAGCCGATCCTCAATCATCATCTATAAAAAGAAAACATTATAACTCAGCTGGAAAGAGAACGTATAGATCAGTTAACAGAAAGACTTCATTGCGAGCGGACAACAGACGTTTCCTCAAGCAATTAGGTTATCATGTCCACACAAAAGTTAAATATATACCGCGAACCCATCGTGGATAATTCTATCGCTCGAGAAGAAGTGCATAGTTATCATCCATCCACAAATTCTTTTCAAAACAACGATATATTCACCATTGAACTAAACCAAGAAGATGTTCTATTTTCATTCTTTGAAAGTTATATACGTATTGAGGGGGATTATAAAGAAAAATTAAACGATCCAACTGATACCATCCAACTAACACACAACTTACCGACATTTCTATTTGAGTATATCGCATTTGAGCATAATGGTACTGAAATCGAGCGAGTACGTGAACCGGGTTTAACATCCCTCATTCGAACTCTACTTCAGCAAAACGAAGTGGAATGTAAATCTTTAGAAATAGCTGGTTTAAAATGGCCACCCGAAGGAAATTTGCCTACAGTGAGTGTAAACAAAGATTTCATGTTTCAAATCCCTTTAAGTCATATTTTCGGATTATTTAGAGACTATAATCACGTTATGAGAGGTCGCTTTAAATTTAGATTTGTTAGAAGTCGTACTGACTCCAATTGTTATAAATCAATATCTAAAGCTGATCCTAGCATCGCAGAGTTTACCGTAAAAACGGTTACATTGTTAGCGAAACATGTGTACCCCAGCCCATCAATAAAGATGAAGCTATTAGATGGTTTAAATAAAAATTCAAACATTCCCGTACCGTTTCGAAAATGGTCTTTTTATGAACTACCTTCAATGAGAAAGGGAAATAAGGAGATTTGGTCGGTCACGTCAACAACTAACAGAGGTAGACCTCAATATGTTATAGTCGCATTCCAAACCAATCGAAAGGATCAACCGACTTCTGATTGTACACTTTTCGATCACTTGAACATTATAGATCTTAAAGTATATCTAAACTCATACTGCTATCCATTTGAGTCGATGAATTTGGAGTTTGCAAAAGAAAATTATGTTGAACTATATAAAATGTTTACTGAATTTCAACCGTATATTTGGGAAACATCTCGAAAACAACCGATTATGGATTTCGCAAGCTTTAAAAAGAGACCTTTATTCGTGGTGGATACCACTAAGAATAACGATGAAGAAGCCGCTCCATCCGCATCATGTGAGGTGCGTATCGAAATACAAAGCAGTAAAGATTTTCCACCTGATACAAAAGCATACTGTATACTACTTCAAGAATCCATGTACACATACAAACCTTTGAGTGGTGAGGTATCTATAATTATAAATTAAATTCCAACACGAGTTTGAGTGGGGAGGTATTTATAAATTCCAACATGAGTTCATATACATATTAGTTTTCAATATGAAGTTCAGAAGTGCAGTTGTAGACGTTCAAGGGTTTTACGTCAACTCTAAATTCGAAGTTAAGGAATTTACTCTTCTGGATATCACCACCACCGACTACACTATACATTTACACCTTAAGCCTAGTATACCATTCCAACGATTAAGTGTTCAAGATCGGAAGACAGTAAGATATTTGGAACGCAGCCATCACAGGTTGTTATATAACGATGGGTGGATAAATCAATCTGAAGGCTTAAATGTAATTGATCACTTAATTTCTTCCTACGATCAAATTTTTGTTAAGGGGAATCAAAAGAAGCAGTTTTTGGAAACACATAACCATAATAAATCAATAATAACGGATATTGCATTAGAATTTAAGGAAGAAGATGAGACTAAATTAAATTCAACCTTCAATCAGTGTTGGTTTCATATCGGCTCGCCAGCAGTATGTTCGCAGAACAATGTTTTAATTTTAAAAAAATTTTTATGTAAACAAAATTAAGTTATTTAAGTTGTAAATAAATAAATTTTTATAAAGTTGGTTGTCGTTTTATAATAATCAACACCTAATTCACATTTAATCATTTAGTTGTAAACTATCATACAGTGTAGACGTAAATTCATGAATCATGAAAGCAATAACTATCTTTCTCTGGACTTGTATGTGGACAGATACATTGGGAACGATAAGTGAACGTGATGAAGAAATTTATATGCTTCTCGATAAATATGGGTATATCGAACGAGAAACTAATGCGAGTCAAAGTGATTTAAATGCGGACCAACAAAGCTTATTGAATGAAGGTATATCTCGGTTTCAAAAATCATTTAATCTTCCAGTGACCGATAAAATAGACTTTAGAACCGTAGATTTACTTGGTAAGCCTAGATGTGGTAATGAGGATTCTTTCGACTTGCTGAAATCAGATGCTCAAAACCGAAAATGGAGTTCATTAAATATTAAATGGGGCATATACCGTGATCATCATCCAAACGGTCTTACCGCGATTGTGCAAAAAGCGTTTAATGTTTGGTCTAAACACGTAAATTTACATTTTAGGAGAGTAATATCAGACGCTAACATTTTGATCGCTTTTAAATCGGGGAAACATGAACTTATTAGAAATGATAAAGCATCATGTTTACGCTTCGCTGGTATGGGAGGAATTCTTGCGCACGCCGATTATCCTGACATTAACAAAAACACAGTTGAAATTCATTTAGATAAAGATGAGAATTGGGATTTAACTACTACCACATTGTCAGGCAAAACTAATCTACTCCTAGTTCTGGTACATGAAATAGGACACGCATTAGGATTAGATCATAATAATGAGTTTGATTCTATCATGTTTCCCAGTTATGGATTCCTTCATATTGAAAATTTTACATTAAGTCAGAATGACATTCATGCGATACAGAAAATTTATGGGAATTCAACTTACACACATAAAGTATCTACTACTACTACGTCAAAACCTACACCCAAAATTGAAACCACAACGTTAAAATCTACGTCTAAAATTGAAACTACATCCCATGAAACTATAGCTCCCTTCACCTTATCTCACATCTGTGATATTGATGACAAGTTTTCAGGATTCTTAATATATAAAAAAATAATTTATATACTTTATAAACAATGGGTTTGGTCAATTGATTTAAAATCTAAAATGCCAGTTCGTTCTACACCTATAAACATAATTGATTGGTTAAAACCTTTGAGAGGTGTTTTAGAAGCTACGAATTATAATTATAAGGTTTCTTTTGGTTCTAATGATAACCTTATAGTTATTATAAATCATTCAATTTATATAATTGAACT